TATTCAGAAGTATTAGTTAAAAAATCTCAAACAACGTCGGTTTGATTGCTTTTGAGCAAATTTTATAATCAAACTAAACTTTTGTTTAATAATTTTTAAACAAAATTAATTTTTTAATACTTTAGTTAAAAGGTTATAAGCAACTAACTCAAAATGAGATTCAATTTGCTTCTTTTAGGTGTTCCGAATACGTCATCAAGTTATCTTGATTAGCTTCGCTATTAAATAAATGGGTGCTCGATTCGGAATGTGAACACTGGGTCACATGAATTAATTCGAAAATGTATTAAAACAATCGGGAAAAATTATGGTTATTACTGACTTATATCAGTCATCAAATCTTATTTCATTAATGCAACTTTTTTGAAATCTAAATCCATCATAAAGATTCTTAAATTGCTTGCAGCTATTTTATAGTGAAAAAAAAACAATTTTTTCCAACACATTAATTAGATTCATTATATTTATTTTATATAATAATATACTTAAATTAATGATACATTAGTCTTTACTTACTCAAACTGAAAGGAGGAGGATATTTTCCTCTTTAATTTTTCTTTTTTAAATTCTCTGCTTTCTGAAACGCATGTTTTTTTATAAATGGGAGAGAAATAATAACCAAAAGTTATGAAATTGTACATTGCACAGATTTTTTTCTATAATTACTACATTTCTATTCTAGTTAAGGAGAACATTTACACGATATTAAATGTAATTTTGATTATGTTGTTTAAACTCTTTACTAATTAACGTAGATTTCCAAATTTATCTAACGTCATCAAATATTTAATGACTACTAAGATTCATAAAAAACTTCTATTGATCGCTGAATAATTTCTCTCAAAGTGTGTTTATTCATTGATTTTGATCTTGTTTTTCTTCATCGGATTTTCAGTAATCCTTGAACGACTTTTTAAAGAATGTTGCTCGTGACCTAGTTCTCAAGGCTGACAGTTTGTAAAAGAATCATCTTAGAGAAATTTATTTGAGAAAATTTTTAAGCATGAGTGCAGAAATCGGTTCTATTTTGTAGTAAATATCCAGATTCAAACGGGAAATTTTAATCTCAATAATTAAGACATAGATGCCTCTTACTGAAATAAAAATTGAAATGTATGAGGCTTTTTCTTCATAAATTATATGGGAAATCGATATTGTATCTCCTTAGAGAAAAAAATACGATTGAATAAAGTCATGAAAATGTTAAATTAACAATTGAAATTTGAGTTTAATTCGTCCTTCACTTCTACTATTTTTAGGGGGAGAAATTTAACGGTAATTACGGTCGCAAAATTACGGTAAAATAAACGGCTATAGTCTGCCTATCCAATTAATTTTAAAGTTTATGATGAAGAGCATTTGTTATCTTTACGGTTTTGAAGCAGTTTTCAACTAGCATGGTCAAAAAGCCATGGACACAAAACTACATGGTTCTTTAACCATTTACAAGTAGCATGAAAATACTATACTTTATTGCGTCCACAATTAATTAAATTTATTCTGTTAACACTTGAATAAATTGTTATTTAACCATTTTTTGAGAATTTCTAATAGTGTATATTTAATGATAGTCAATACGAGGTAGATTAATTTTATTAATACTATCAATTTTGAAAAAAAGAACCCTTCTACATTATGTTTTATTTCCATGAATGAGGAATCCTTTTACTGACTAATCCCAATTAAAAGATTTCTTACAAATCATATTTTAATGAAATATATTCATGTTACTAAGATTTTGTACTTAAAATACGGCTTTAACCCTTTGACGCACATGGGATACTGGTGGGTTTTTTTATATATTTGTTTTGACGCTCTTATTACAAGCAAAAATAAATTTTTTTGCGTTTTAATTATAGAAAAAAATTCTCTCACAGTAACTAATAAATTTGTTAGATTGTTGTAATTAAACTTGGAATAAAATATAAAATTCAAAAAAGTTGCTTGAAGTTTTTTTTTTCATTCATCTTCAAACATTTATTAATTATCGATTTTGTAAATGAAAGAAATTTTAATGATTAATAACTATTTCTCTTAGATCTAAATAACTGCAAATGATTGCAAATTTGAGCAATTATTGTTTGGAAGCGAGCCGTTTTCGGAAGAATTTACCTTTAGAGAAGAAAAAGACACCGATGTTTCATGTTGCATTTCATTACCATAAATTATTAAAATGCTAAATAGAATGTATTTTATCCTTGTTTTGGACCTAAATCAACACAAAATAATGAGAAAAGTATGAAAATTATGTTTAATAAAAATTCTGCGGCAAAGGGTTAAGATTTGAAGGCTTTCTGACAACACCTGCAAAATGGGGTTGACAATGACCGACCCCTGTAACGTCCAGTTTTTTTTTCTTTAAGTCTGTGGGTACACATAGCTTAAAGGTTATCGCATAAATTCTTCTGCCAAATTCATTTTTACATGTGACAAAGGCCCAAATCTCTCCTTTAATACTTCAGAGACTTATTACAGACCCTTAAAAATAGTTATTCAGAATCTATATTCCTTTCAATTTCGAAATCTATATTTTTTACAGTTTCAAGTTCCATATAGAACTAAGCATCGTTTCCCATTTGATGTGCTTGAACCTCATAACCCTTTAATCTCTAACTGAAACAGCTATCATACTTTCATGTTATTCCTGCGCAGCTAAGATGTGAGACGGGAATACTTACGAGACAGTTGGCCTCCATATTTGTATTAATTGTTCTGTCCTATATTTGTTTAATAAATGATTCGTTAAATTAGTTATGGTCGTTACCTTTCCCTTTGGTATTCCTTAAAACCGAATTCAGTTATTTCAGCATTTTTATATTTCCAATAGTTTATATTTCCTTTAAGACGACCTACTTTTAGTTGCTAAAAAATTCCATCTGCTTTAAACAGAAAAACAATAGTTATGTTTCTAAATGAGATTTTTAAAGCTTAAACTTAATTCAAATTTTATTGCTCACATACTTAAAATGAGGAATGTCACTGTCGACATTAGAACATTCTTCGATGAACTGTTCGAGTGGAATAAGTGAAAAATGAAATAGAATTTTCTGATTGATTAAACATTGGTCATTGCTTAAAATTTAACTACAAGCAATTACATTTTTTAATTATTTTAAAAATAACATCAGTGATAATTATTAGCTTATAGCTCTATTCGATCAAAAAATTTGTTTATTGCACCTATTTAAATATTTTATATTCGCTATGTCAGATAAATTCAATCAACAACATTACGCGTAGTAAGCGTGATCTATCCCCGTGCGAAGAACGAGTATACAGCCAGTTAAAAATAAATAATAATCCGCTTCTGTCTATAAAAGATATTAGTCCTTATTGAATGATGCTAAGACTGTATTTTTTATTTCCCCTTTTTACCCTGTAATTTGAGCCCAATCCAGAAAACAAAGGAACTCATGGATCAAGTATTTGGAGAAATTTGCCTTCAAAGAACTTTTATAGTGGAACTTACCCGCATCAGCGTTATATGAAAAAGAAAACCGCGAAAACCTCTCACGATTAGCCTCACTGTAAGAGGACCATGATGGATCCCCGGAGCGCACAGTGGGTGAAGTTCGTTTCAACCAGACATCGCTGGGATTCGAACCCGACCTAGGTGGACATCGAGGTGAGTGCTTTATCCCCTGAGTCAACACGACTGTTGAAAAATGACATAGAGAAATATTTTGCTGCAATTTCTGTTGAAGATCAAAAGGGCAGAATGTTTCATACCCATTTTTCACTAAAATGGCTTGTATCGCCTTTTGTTGCACTTTAAAGAATGCAAAATTTTAACAAATCAGCATCGCAGAAAATCAGCTCTTCCTGAGAGTTATTACACAATTAAGATGTGTCACGTTTTAGATAGACACTTCCTGTTCGCGTGCTTCCCAGTTATTTTTAAGGATCACTTTCATGGATATAAATCATATTTTCCTTTGATTTTCAATTATTAATTTAATTTCCGATTGCAAGCATTACATTTTAAAGATATTGGTAAGTAAGAGGTTCGAGGCGAAATCAAAGCTAGTCCAATTTTTTGTTTTTAATTTTAAATCCTTTTTGAATATGAACAATGCGGCTTTGAAAGGAGCAAGAACCGAACACAAATATGCTTGATCCTTTTTGTGTGGTAAATAGTGTAGGGAACAAACAGCCAATTAACTTTTAAAATTTTTATTTGGCTCTTTCCAAATATTTGTGATTATAGACTTCTTTGTTCTCGCATTGTGCCCCTTAATTCTCTAATAAACTTATTGATAACTAAATGTTGACCATTGATAATCGATGATTTACGGATCATCATCGTTATTAAACTCATTTATCTGAAACTATGCTGTATGTAACCATAGACTTTAGATGAAAAATATTTGATCAGAAGTGATGTGAACCTGAAAGAAATTAGAGACCCTTGATCAGAATAATTTCAATGATCAAGAATTACGACAACATGAAAGCAGCCGTAGACCCTGGATCAAAATATACTCATTGATCAAAATGGATGTCCACCTGAAATTAATCTTTGTCAGGATTAAATTCATTGATCAAAATTAATGACAATTTAAAAGATATGATAGATCCTTGATATGAATAAATTAATTGATCAAATATATCTTCCTAAAAACAATCATAGGCCCTTAATGTAATTAAATTACTGATCAGAAATTATGTAAATTATGCCAATCTAAAAGCTATCGTAGACTCTTGATCACAATAAATTTATTGCCCAAGAATTATGCCATAATGCATCATTAAACCCTTGATCATAAGAAATTCAATGATCAGAAAAGATGCCAACCTGACAGCAAATCATTAAATGAATCATCGATAATTCTTCTGATAAAGCATGCAACTTCGATAACAATCATGTTGCGATTTCGATGATTACGTATTTAATTTTACAGCTTTCAGCAATTTTCTAATAAACCTTCAAAAGCATAGATGTGTTAAGTTTGAGATCAGCAAAAAATAAAAGCAATTACATTTAGAGATAAAACACTTACCCAAATGATCCGGCAGGGGCTTCAATTCTTTCATTTTTTATCGATTCCTTTTTGTTACCTAAAATTGCAAAAAAAAAATATTTAATAAACATATAACGCTAATCAAAAAATTGTATTCGTAAATTAAAAATCCAGTGTTCTTGAGGTATTAACTAGGTCTTCTTAATGGTTAATCTTAGAAATAGGTCCTCAAAAAAGTAGAAAATATTCCTTGGACAGGTAAAGAAAAGTATATATCGTTTATTACATGGCTAGTGAGAGTTTAAGCATTTTATGTATTTAAATTTTTGACATTTTTATTTTCCTGTAAATTATAAATAAATAACATGGATGTGATCATTTTTGTTGAAAATGTTCAAGACATTAAACAGATACTGAAATTGAATCCATAATGTTGCAGGCTGTACTTATTGTGCACAATAAAAACAGATTTTAAATTTATATATGGCAAAATTATGAATGTTGGACTAAACAAAATAGTGGCTTTTTATATTGATCTAAGCTCAAAAGAGAGAAGTCCATTTAGACTGAAACGTTATTTGATGAAAACGCTAGGGTGTGTTTCATATCTCTTTAATTTTGTTCCCAGTTCATAATTTTTCATTGTAATTATCAAAGCATAAAATATACAGGGTGTCCAAAAAGAATGAAAATTGTCAAATGCCTTGAGAAATACGCATCGGAATAGAAATCAAAAAATACACCTGTAAAAATGTGTTTAGATGCATTCAGGCATATCAAGCTTGACGAATTATATAGAACTTCACCCATTGGATGAGGGAGGAACAGCACCAAAATCGTAAACAGATTTTCTTCCTTGTTTTTAGATATTTGGATTATCCAGATAAAAGTAAACGAGATCAAATATGGCACTGAATTCACAAGATACAAAAGGTGTACAAATTGTTTGTTGGATCAAAAAAAAATATGTGTTTGATATTTAGAAAAACCAAACTCAAATTCTCTCCAACTAACTCAAATTCTTTCCACGTGTTAAGGGTCAGGCAGGGCCTAGTTTTGGGATGAATTGGTTTCTCTTCTTATAGTTTTCAAAATATGTGTGGTTTAAANACCATAAATTATTAAAATGCTAAATAGAATGTATTTTATCCTTGTTTTGGACCTAAATCAACACAAAATAATGAGAAAAGTATGAAAATTATGTTTAATAAAAATTCTGCGGCAAAGGGTTAAGATTTGAAGGCTTTCTGACAACACCTGCAAAATGGGGTTGACAATGACCGACCCCTGTAACGTCCAGTTTTTTTTTCTTTAAGTCTGTGGGTACACATAGCTTAAAGGTTATCGCATAAATTCTTCTGCCAAATTCATTTTTGCATGTGACAAAGGCCTAAATCTCTCCTTTAATACTTCGGAGACTTATTACAGACCCTTAAAAATAGTTATTAAGAATCTATATTCCTTTCAATTTCGAAATCTATATTTTTTACAGTTTCAAGTTCCATATAGAACTAAGCATCGTTTCCCATTTGATGTGCTTGAACCTCATAACCCTTTAATCTCTAACTGAAACAGCTATCATACTTTCATGTTATTCCTGCGCAGCTAAGATGTGAGACGGGAATACTTACGAGACAGTTGGCCTCCATATTTGTATTAATTGTTCTGTCCTATATTTGTTTAATAAATGATTCGTTAAATTAGTTATGGTCGTTACCTTTTCCTTTGGTATTCCTTAAAACCGAATTCAGTTATTTGAGCATTTTTATATTCCCAATAGTTTATATTTCCTTTAAGACGACCTACTTTTAGTTGCTGAAAAATTACATCTGCTTTAAACAGACAAAAAAATAGTTATGTTCCTAAATGAGATTTTTAAAACTTTAACTTAATTAAAATTTTATTGCTCACATCCTTAAAATGAGGAAGGTCCCTGTCGACATTAGAACATTCTTCGATGAACTGTTCGAGTGGAATGAGTGAAAAATGAAATGGAATTTTCTGATTGATTAAACGTTGGTCATTGCTTAAAATTTAACTACAGACGATTAAATTTTTAACGTATTTTAAAAATAACATCAGTGATAATTATTAGCTTATAGCTCTATTCGATCGAAAAATTTGTTTATTGCACCTATTTAAATATTTAATTATTTTATATTCGCTATGTCAGATAAATTCAATCAACAACATTACATTGTTGTAAGCGTTATCTATCCCCGTGCGAAGAACGGGTATACAGCTAGTTAAAAATAAATAATAATACACTTCTATCTGTAGAAGATATTAGTTCTTATTGAATGATGCTAAGACTGTATTTTTTATTTCCCCTATTTACCCTGTAATTTGAGTCCAATCAAAGGAACTCCTGGATCAAGTATAGGGAGAAATTTGCCTTCAAAGAACTTTTATAGTGGAACTTATACGCATCAGCGCTGTACGAAAAAGAGAACCACGAAAACCTCCCACAATTAGCCTCACTGTAAGAGAAGTCCAATCCATGATGGTTCCACGGTGAGCACAGTGGACGAAGTTCGTTTCAACCAGACATCGCTGGGATTTGAACCCGACCGAAGTGGACATCGAGGGGAGTGCTTTATCCCCTGAGTCAACACCTGTTAACATAGCGGTGATCTTACGGTGATTTCTGTTGAAGATCAAAAGGGAAGAATGTTTTATGCCCATTTTTCACAAAAATGGATTGTATCACCTTTCGTTGCAGTATAAAGAATGCAAAATTTTATCAAAGCAGCATCGTAGAAAATCAGTTCTTCCTGAGAGTTATTACACAATTAAGATGGGTCACGTTTTAGAAAAACAGTTCCTGCTCTCGTGCTTCCCTAGTTATTTTTCAGGATCACTTTCATGGATATAAATCAAATTTTCCTTTGATTTTCCTTTAATTTAATTTCCGATTACAAGTATTACATTTTAAGGATACTGGTAAGTGAAAGGTTCGAGGCAAAATCAAAGCTAGTCCAATTTTTTGTTTTTAATTTTAAATCCTTTTTGAATATGAACAATGCTGCTTTGTAAGGAGTAAAAACCGAACACAAATATGGGTTGATCCTTTTTTTGTGTGGCAAATAGTCTAAGGAACAACAGCGAATTAACTGTCAAAATTTTTATTTGGCTCTTTCAAATTATTTGTGATTATAGACTTCTTTTATCTTGCATTGAGCCCTTTAATTTTCTAATAAACTCACAGTGATTACTCGATGTTGACCATTGATAATCGATGATTTACGGATCATCATCGTTGTTCAACTAATTTATCTGAAACTATGCAAATCTCTACGTAACCATAGACTTTAGATGAAAAATATTTGATCAGAAGAGATGTGAACCTGAGAGAAATTTGAGATCCTTGATCGGAATAATTTCAATGATCAAGAATGACGACAACATGAAAGTAACCATAGACCATAGATCAAAATATACTCATTGATCAAAATTGATGTCCAGCTGAAATTAATTTTTGTTATGATTAAATTCATTGATCAAAATAAATGACAATCTAAAAGATATGATAGATCCTTGATAAGAATAAATTCATTAATCAAATATATCTTCCTAAAAACAATCATAGACCCTTAATGTAATTAAATTACTGATCAGAAATTATGCCAATCTGAAAGCTATCGTTGACTTTTGATCACAAATCAAATTCATTGCCCATGAATTATGTCGAACAAAATGCATCGTAAACCCTTGATCATAAGAAATTCACTAAATTACTAAATGAATCATCGATAATTCTATTGATAAATTATGCAACCTCGATAACAATCATGTTGTGATTTCGATGATTACGTATTTAAGTTTACAGCTATCAGCAATTTTCGAATAAACGCTCAAAAGCATAGATGTGTTAAGTTTGAAATCAGCAAAAAATAAAAGCAATTACATTTAGAAATAAAACACTTACCCAAATGATCTGGCAGAGGCTTCAATTCTTTCATTTTTTATCGATTCCTTTGTTACCTAAAATTACAAAAAAAAATTATTTAATAAACATTAAACACTAATCAAAAAATTTTATCCGTAAATTAAAAATTCAGTCTTCTTGAAGTATTAACTAGGTCTTCCTAATAGTTTATCTTAGAAATAGGTCTTTAAAAAGGTAGAAAATATTTTTTGGACTGGTAGAGAGAAGCATATATCGTTTATTACATGATTAGTGAGAGTTCAAGCATTTCATGTATTTAAATTTTTGAAATTTTTATTTTCTTGTAAATTATAAATTACATGAATGTGTAGCTGATGTGATCGTTTTTGTTGAAAATGTTCAAGACATTAAACAGATACAATTGAATCCATAATGTTGCAGGCTGTACTTATTTTGTAAAATAAAATCAGATTTTAAATTTATGTAAGAAATGGCAAAATTATGAGTGTTGGACAAAACAAAATAGTGGTTTTTTAAATTGATTTAAGCTCAAAAGAGAAAAATCCATTTAGACTAAAACGTTATTTGCTGAAAACGATAGTGTGTGTTTCATATCTGTTTAATTTTGTTTCAAGTCTATAATTTTCCATTGTAATTATCAGAGCATAAAATACACAGGGTGTCCAAAAAGAATGAAAATTGTCAACTCCCTTGAGAAATACACATCGGAACAGAAATCTAAAAATACACCTGTAAAAATGTGTTTAAATGCATTCAGGCATATCAAGCTTGGCGAATTATGTAGAACTTCACCCATTGGGAGTGGGAGGAATAGCACCAAAATTGTAAACAGATTTTCTTCTTTGTTTTTACATATTTGGATTATCTCCAGATAAAAGTAAACGAGATCAAATATGACATTGAATTCACAAGATACAAAAGCTGTACAAATTGTTAGTCGGATAAAAAAAAATTTGATATTTAAAAAAACCAAACTCAAATTCTGTCCAACTAACTCAGATTCTTCCCACGTGTTATGGCTCAAGCAGGGCCTAGTTTTGGGACGAATTGGTTTCTCCTGTTACGGTTTTCAAAATATGTGCGGTTTAAAAAAAATTCCTAACTAATGCGTGATTTTCCTTTCTTTTTTTAATTTTCTTTTCAAATGTGCCAATAAAGTTTAATTTCCTAATTGAATTAATTTTCTA